GCCTAGGAAGTGGGGAGAGTTGGGACCTTTCTTGTAGGCATTTGGAGTAATTCAGCAACCGAAGACACTGAATACTTTCAAGATGACTAACGGGACTAGCCGGGTCAGAGCACAAAGCCTTAAGTGGGCATGAGTTCCCTATGCATACTGACCTGAGACATGGCTAATGCAGTTTTTTCCACTGCTTTTTTTCCTAACATCACATTTTAATATAAATCTTCCTTATTCCTACTCCAGTGCTAGGACTGATAAATGTTTCAAGACCTCCCCTGTGTGTATGATGACATTATCTGACAGATTGCAGGCTGCTTCCATGCAGTTTTCTGGCAGCTCTTTTCCTCCTACATGACAGCTTTTTCAGTTCATTGAAAAGGTTTGAGTATATTTTCATCATCTCAGGTTGTCTGAAGCCCAGCGATGAATCGTTTGTGGCTTTGTGCAAGCATGATGCAATTCTGAAGGTTCTCCAGCGTACTGGGAACGTGTCCCCGATGCTTGTCTACAAAGAGCATCAGTCTCAACAGAAAACCACGCTTAGAGAAGTAGGGAGGTGACGGCTGAGCAGGAGGAGGTGAATTCCAGACTCTGCGGACCTGGATGAAATTACCGTGGTAGCTAAGAGATTACTATGGTAACTTACTGTGCAGGAATCATCTGAGTTAGCTGTTGATGTAGCTTAGCTTGAGCCAGAATGAATCATAGATGTATTAATGCTCTGTACCTGAATGGTGCCTTTATCTCAAAGTTCCCAAAAACTAGCAAAAAGTACAAGTTTAACCCCTGTTTATATTCAAGGTTAAAATCCTTAGGGCACTTATTTATCTCATTGTTGAGACAAAAGATTTCTGGACCTCAGAACTTAGAGCAATCTTAAAGTAGTTATAAAACTCTAAATTAATATTTTCAACTCCCTTTCATAAGAAGTGATTGCTTAATGGGCAAAGAAAAAGCAGCTCTGCTGGGCATTCCCACAGTCATCAGCAAAAAGAAAAAGATCATGTATTGTGTTATGGGTCTGATTTTTAAAACCAAGGCTGTGAATAACTTTGCTCTTTTGTCTTTTCAGGAAGAAGAAATATCAATGCTAGGAGAAATAACCCATTTACAAACCATATCAGATGACCTGAAAAGTCTTACCATGGATCCACACAAATTACCATCTTCAAGTGAACAGGTTAGCTCTTGTTACCTGAAAAACATTTGTATCTGTAGCTTGTAGCAGTTTTCCTTTTGTGTTACGAGGAATATTGACTACTAGCATTTAGTGGCTTAATGTTATGTTTTGTAGATGCTTCACTGCAGCAAGGTCATTTTTAACATAAGCAATTTTAAAAAGTTGATTTTGAAGTACTAACTCCTGAAGTATTCAGTGAGACCAGTGTGAAGTGGCAGCAGTAACATTTTGAAGTATATGAGGATGCCCAGTTTCTCCTGAGAGTACATGAGTCCTCGCCCTACATTTGAGCATCCCTGTCTTTATGTGGTTGCAAGACTGCTGGCATTAGATAGCTTGATGGAGTCTAACATTTGAGCATTTTTCCATGCTGTCCTAAAATGTGTGTCATTAAAGGACTCCAAATAGGACCTTTTTCTCCAGCCATGCTGTGTGAACTCAGTTTTCTTGCCATACCTTAATCACCTTATCATTGACCTAGAGGTGTAAAAGAGAGAAGCTCTGCTTGGAGATTTGGATTGGATCTTTGATTAATATTTTAAAATGCAACAGTTTTTAAACTTTAAGGCTGTAATAGTTTTTTTAAGGGAAAACGGAACAAAACAGCTTACAGCATGGATAAAATAAATCTCATTTACTTTTTGAAGATTTTTCCATTCAAATCTGAACTTACCTTCTGTGGTAGCAGCCCTAGTGTTGAAGTACGGTAGTTCCTGGAAAGCCAAGGATGAAGCTGATTGTCCTGTGTAATATACACAGTGTAATTCTGGAAGAGAGCTGACACTGGGTCAGTTGGCACTGAAAGTTTGTAGTGGTGATGAATGTTGTGTGACAAGCGGATGCTTTCTGTTAACAGGGAAAAAAAAATTTCCGTGTCCTTGATGCTATTGATTATCTTTCATCAGGTAATTTTAGATTTGAAAGGTTCTGATTACAGCTGGTCTTATCAGACTCCTCCATCCTCTCCCAGTACTACTATGTCCAGAAAATCTAGTGTTTGCAGGTAAGTAGACTGGTAATACTTAATTTTAACCTGTTTGGGGGCAAAGGGAGGCAAGTTCAGACTGTGGTATGGATTTTTATGCATACTTAAATAATGACTTCTAATGAAATCAATCCCTCATGGTCTTTATCCGTTTAAGTGTGTGACTGGGAATATTAAAAAGGATGGGCATGACTGAACAACTTTTGAACTCAAGACAACTTGAAGAAGCTTTTGATTCAGTTCTCTTGAATGCATTTCAGATCAAAGAGCAGACTGTACTGATCTAAGCTCTGAGATTGTTCATTCATAATTTCCTTTTCTGTTTTTCATGGGATGACTTTTTAGATTATTCTAAGTAGCTGTTACTAATCAGTAAGTTAAACTGTTTGAAAGGGAAAAACATCCTTGACAATTGCCCTATCAGTCTGGTAGATGGAAATGCTTTTTAATACAAATTTTTTTGACTGTTTAATGCTGTCTAATGCTGTCCTGAAATACGTTGAAACACTGAATTCTGTCTATGCTTTCTCTGTAAAAACTGTTTTCTCTCATGAAACAGTTTATTAGCATGTTGCCCCCATACCCTGGTGTCTACATTTACTCTTTCCTTTTACTGAAAAGGAAGATACCCTATTGTGTATTCTGCTCAACACCTTTCTAGCTGCTCTCGAATGATTAACATTTAGTTTGCTTTATGAATAATGTATTGGAGGTTCCCTGTGTATGAGCAAAGTTACCTATAGCATGTCAGAGCAAGTGAAGATGACTTCTGCTATGTACCTACTTGTCTCTGCATGCAGATATATATAAAAAAAACCTTCACTATTTTTATATATATTTATGTGAAAACATGCATATTTAGAGCAATGAGCACAGGCTTAAAGATGCAATATCCTGAAGCTGTAAAAGAAAATGGCAAAATAACCCCCAAAATCCATCATCTGTTCCTAATCAACCTCATCTTTCTGTGTGGTAAAACCTGTATGGCAACAGACTGTTGTGTATGGGTAAAATAAGGCAGAGCTCCTCTTCCCCTGCTCCGAGACAACTTGTACATCTTGTGTGTTACATGGAATTTGTGTGCAGGAGGTGCAGTCCTCACCCATGTATCCTTTAGGGCCATCCCTTCAGCTAAGCAGTAGGGTCCTGCCGACAAAGGTAGGAGCCTTTAGGTTGATGCATCCTGCTAGTCCTGCTCAGCCACCCCAGGAGGAAACTTCAAAGGTTCCCACATTGTGGCTGGCATGGCGTTGCTGTCATTCATGGATACTGGAGATTAAAAATCGATCTCTTTGAAAAATCAATTTTTTTTCATTAATATTAATTTGGGATAGTTAATTCTCTGATCATCTTTCTTACTAACTAAAGCTACATACCTAGAGGTGTGACTTCACTCAATATGCCATCACATGCTTTTTTTCTGGTAGAAAGCCTTCATGTGAGTGAAGCTTGTCCCAGGTACTCTGAAACATGGGGTTTTGGTGATGCTTTCAAAAGTCTCACACGTTTGCCTGCTGGCTGACTGCAGGGACATGCCTAGAGACAGACTTTTAGATGAATTGTGATGCCTTTGCACCCCCTGCTAGAGATCCCATTGAAAATTTGGGCCATGGTGCAAGAGCAAGGAGGTGTGATTTAGGAATAGGAGAGAGCCATCAGCGGACATTTTTTGTGCAAGTGCTATGCAAAAGCTAGAGAGGGCATGTAGCAATTCCGTCATCCTTAATCTGACTTGGAGCTCTGAGTGGTTACAGAATTTGATCATTTGAGTGAAATTCAAGGTAAAATGCCATTTTCTCGCTGGTCGCAAGGGATACTGCAGCTGCTTATGGTTCTTTACTGATATATATGTGCATATATATATATTTAAATTAAATTTGTCAATATTTTTTCTTTTCCGGTTTATGCTGCCTGTTGCTAGAGACATGTTGAATGTTAATTGTACTGTATATGGGTCTCTCCCCACCCCGCCCTTGTGTATTTTCCTCTCCCCTTTCCTTTCTTTGTTCCTTTTGTCTCTCACAGCAGTCTGAACAGCGTTAACAGTAGTGATTCCCGGTCCAGTGGCTCGCACTCGCACTCACCTAGTTCACACTATCGCTATCGCAGCTCCAATCTGCCTCAGCAGGCACCCATGAGGCTGTCCAGTGTGTCCTCCCATGATTCTGGATTCATGTCCCAGGATGCTTTCCAGTCCAAATCGCCATCCCCCATGCCACCAGAAGCACCTAACCAGGTACGTGCAAGCATGAGAACAAAAATCTGAGCGTGAGCTGGACTCTGTAACTTGGCTCACCTTTCACAAAAAGGATCTGGTGTGGTTTTGGGGTACCTTGGAGTCAGGTTAACACTGAGGGTAAGGTTTGTCTCACTGCACTTCATCCGTCTAAAAGTTGGGCCTCTAGCTGGAGTGATTTATGCTGCTTTTGCAGTTAGCACTGAAGAAAGAGATGAGTTACTCTCAGGGGATTTGGTTTTCACTCTGTCCCTGGAGAGAGCCTAGATGCCTAACTTTCAGGTACATACAGATGAGGAAGAACAAGAAGTCCCACCTTACAGGAGAGAATAATATTCACTTTACCCACTGAGGTTACCAGTTAATATCCTGCACAAATTGCAAGTTGTTAATATCTGGTGGCTGTTTACAGTTTAATGGACAAATATTGGTGCCAGAACAGCCTTCTGACAGCCTTAGTATTGATGCTGGTGGCTTCAGCATCAGAGAGACTACTTTTATTCCTCCCCTGCAAAGGGCCTGGAATACTCAAAATGCCATTCATATGAAATTGGTTTTGCTGTTTTTTACATCCCTTTCTGTGGATAGGCTTGCTGTTTCTGACTCTCAGTTGAGCACCTTGCAGAAACAAGGTTTCTGCATGAAAGTAAGAGGTATTTTTAGTTCTTTATTGAACCCATAAGAAATGAGTGTTTGTGTAGTCATATATGATAATGTCCTGAACCCAGTCAAACTAAGAGAATTTCACTGTAAATATAAGCAAAACTTTTCCAAAGCATTTTTTGGTCTGCAGAAGGAAGTTGCTGCTCTATTTGTTCATGGCATCATTCCTATAAAAACTAGCTGCCTGCCTGCAGGCAGAGGTTTGCATGCCTCCATGGCATGTATCTTCCAGCACCTGAATTCTCTTTTCTGTTTTTTTTTTTTTTTTTTTAACAAATCACATGGCAGCTGCAATATTTTTTTAAACAAGGCTGAACTGCCATCTGACATTATAAATCCCATTGTAGTTACAAACTGAAGTGGACCTAATATCCTGTTGTTGAGTCATTTTTAATACACCCTGAGGTCACTGAAGAAGGTTGTCCTTTAGTTTAATAAATGTAGTTGCTCTCCTTTTCCTGTGTTGGGGAGTAGATGGTTTTAATCCTCACAGTCAGCACGCAGCCAACAATTTCAGTGTTAGTGGTTACCAAGTGTCACCTGCACACTTAAGCTACTCCTAGACCATCTTTGACAGCACTCAGACCCTTACTTTTTGCAGAACATTTAGTTAAGTAGCAGCCTTAGTGAAATTTTTAGGGTATCATTCAAAACAACACTGGTTCACTTAGGCTTGAATCATGTTCTCAATGGAAGCTCAACAGTTTTTTAATATATTTACCTCTTCCATTTTAATAGAAGTGCTTTCTTTTCAAATGAATACATCTTCTGTGCTGTTCCCCAGTCTGGACACATCAGCATTTTTTTATAGATGACATCCTGAAGAACTTTGTGCACACTAATAAAATGAATGTTTTGTTTAGATTGGCTATGGCTAACCTAAGTGAAATGCAAAAAGTAAATGAGCAATAGTAAAGTAAACTGGAATAGTAACAAGGTAAGGAAGTTGACTTTTAAGATACATACATCAGTTACACATGCTAGCATCATCCTCGGTTTTCATGGTATCCACTGCACCTGCATAAAAGGGCGGTAATCTACATGATGATGCTATGTTTGCAGATGAGGATGTAACTTTGCAATTGCCCTTAGCATGGAAAAAGTCCAACACCTCTCCTTGCAAGTTCTCCTGTTAAGTAGGGCAGAGAACTTGGGCTGCTATCAGCTGGCAGAACATCCTGAAAGTCGACAGGAGTCATACTGATTTACACCAGCTAAGTTCATATGCTGTCACTTCATTTTAGAAACTGTCCATAAAGTTGCAAACTGATCCAAGCATCACTTGAGCTATTCATGAGCTGTAGAAGGCTGCAGCAGTGTGGCATTGACTTGACAAGTGTAGTGTGTTGGTATAACAAATAGGTATGTGCTCTGTATGTCTCTAGTTCTGTATACCTTTACGCAGAGGAAAAGGTAACAGATCATTGCCTGGCTGCTTCATCTTTGCTTAAGTGTCTTGCTTTGTATGTTCAGCACTAGGTAAATTGTGTGTGTTGTGCTGACAGATAATTGTGATCATGAGCTTACCGAGAAGCTGTTCGATTTACAGCGTTATTTCGTGTTGTGTGTCTCTAACCAACTGACAGATCTCCCTTGTGGTATTGTGCTTTTGAGGCTTGGTGGTGGGTGGGGAGGAGCAGTGATGTCAGCTGCTGTTTGTAAATCACTGATGTCATTGTTTCTAGTAGTAACACTGAGAAAGCAGAAAAGCAAGCTCTGGAATCACCAAAGGAAATTAAAAGCTGTATATCTTGCACAGGTGGACACTTTGCTGATGTTTGCTAGCTACATGCTGTGGCATCTACTGGGGCAACAAAGCCCATTTTCTTTTAATAATGGATTTTTAAAAAAAGTAGGAGGAGGCTACATATATTTCCTATGTTATGGGAATGAGAATATATAAGCTATGTGAAGCTTTTATGCTCTCACCTACATTTTAGACAAGCGTCACAGAAAATTAAACTGAATTTATTCAAAATCACAGATGGAGGTGAAAAAAAAAAATCTCAAACAAGGAATAAGTAGAGATTTAAACAAGGTACAGACTATACCAGAGGAGAGATGACTAGCAAAATGAAGACTGCTTTTTAGCCTATAATTGCTGAGTAGTAAGTCTTTACAGTTATCACACTCTGCATAGAAAATAGGAAAAAGAGCAATTCTAAAACCAAACTCTGCCCTTACACTGGTTTAGTATGATCGCTTTTCTGCAGCTTTGCTGTTAACATCAGTGGGAGTGAGTGTTAGCCTGGAACAGATAGCTGTACATGTGCAAAGGTCACTGTAAAATGTTTTGATCTTAATTAAGCAAGTACATTTGGGTATAGCTGAACAGCTGGAAAAACATCACAGGTCTCTTTCTGGAGCGGAACAGTTTCTCTAAATGGCAGATTTGAGGTCAGCCGTGGTCAGCGTTGCCCATGGCCTGTACTGACACCGTGTAAAGCCCTTCTGACAGATTTGCTGCTGGGAGCACAGAGTAGCCCTTGGATGAACATTGAACATGGCTGGTGCTGCTAAGCCCACACGTTGCCCTGTGTAGTAGACAAACGGAGGTCTGCAATGAAGTAATATGGTAGGAGTACAGTTATGTTTGATTTTGGGGGATAAGAATAGAAGGATCCACTGGACTTGGAGTGAACACACACAGAGGAAGCAGTTGTACAGTTGGATTTTAGAGGCTGCTTATGACTTTGTGGGGTTGAAAGCAAGGGGAGAGAAAGAAGCAGATGAAGAAGGGAAAAAAACTGTTGCTGTGCTGTCAAAACAGCAGAGGACTAAGTCTTTATTGTTAGAATATTCTGGAAATTGCTTTCCCTAAACAGTGAAGTAGAGGGAAACTGAATGTGAACTTGCTTCTGCATGTACAGATTAGCAAGCTGGAAAGATTGTGCTTTTGAGGAGACTCCACTGCTTGAAGTAGCTTCAAGTTAGAATAGAGGAAATACATTGTTAAAACTATTCAGTTTTCCATGTAAATTAAGAAATGCTCCCAAATCAGACCTTAAAAAAAAAAAAAACAACAACCTAAACCCCTCCCAAAATAACTGAAATGCATCTGTAAATTATGACCAGGTATTTGTTTCTCCTAAACTTCTTTTTTTAAGTTAAGTTTCCCAACAGTTTGTCCCTGACTAGAAAAGAGGGGTCAGCAGAGACATGTTCCTGAAAGTGAGACAAATTGAGGAGGTGACCTTGAGTGACTCTCCAAAGCTTTTTGAAAGGTAACTGAGATGTCTTCCCCTGACTGTAGAGGGACATTGGACCAAACCCTTCATTAGGATTTGGTCGCCTGGGAAACCTTTGCCCAGGAAGCTCTGTCCAGTAGTTGGGGAAGGGATGGGGTTAAGAAAGCAATACTGGATTTGAATGGAAAACATAGCAAACAAAGGGTGCAAGTAATCCAAGATAACCGTGGACCTTTTATAAGTTGTTAGGACAACAGATGGAAAATATAATCATACCGTCCAGTAGCCCAAAATACAGCTTTTTTTTTTTTTTTTTTTTAATATCCTTGCTGGAGTTCATGCATACCACACCAAGCAGCGGGACACTAACCAAGAACAAGCCATGGTGGAATGTCTGAGAGACCAGATACCAAGCTACATATGTATAATGTACATTTGAGGAATTGGTTGTTACTGTGCAGAGCACAGCTTTAGCTTTCTGCTGATACTGCTAACTTTAAGCTTTTTCTCAGAAGAGATGGTTTGAGAGCAGAGCAGAACCACTATTGTTGCAGCTCTGGGGAAAAAAAAATCTCCCAGGGTTAAAATAGCTAAAATGAAAGAACTAATTTTAAAAATTATTCAGACTAAACGTCATCATAGAATCATAGAATGGTTGGAACTAGATGATCTTTAAGATGCTTTCCAACCAAACCATTCTATGGTTCTATGATTTTAAAAAGGAATCGACTAAAATAAGTTGAAAAAATCCAGTAGTCAAATTTCTGACTCCATGGGCTGTGGAGTAGAAATTGCTCTGCCCAATGTTTGCCTGCGCGTGTGCTCCCAGGAGTGCATGTGCCAGTGGGTGTGCATCTAGAACAAGCACTCAAAAGTTTGCAGACTTTTTGCCCAAGCAGTAACTGTGCAGTTGCTGTTTTCAGCCCCTTGTGTACCTTCTGCTAAGAAATGAAGGGTGGTTTGTGCTTCCCACACCCAGGTCCAACCATTCAAGACTGTTTCTGCAGTCTGATACAGGCTGCCTTTGACCTGCTGCCACTCGCGTTTCCTTTACACTTTTCCTTCAGGAGTTCAGTATTCTTGTGCCTCCCTCTCCATCATTTTCTTACTGTTGTAATACTTTTTTTAGCAAGACCAGAGGCTTCCCTTCCCTGTGCCGTGCAAGCTTCTCAAGACGAGATCCTGTTTCGCTACCACCACCTCTTGCCTTTCCTTCAGTTACCAAGGTGTTTTCCCCATGGCATCTTGTTTCATCCTTTGTCTAGCTTTGCCTGCTGAAAATGGCCACGCTGAGTTAGTGGGAAAGTCCTTCCTTTCATCTTTTTTTCACCTTGGAGTCACTTTATTGCAAAAATAAGTTCACCGCTTCCCGTCTTTTTTCCCCATACACCAAGTAAATGGAACAATTCTTTGCATCTTCAGGATTTGCATTTTTGGCCTTTTTCCATCTATTTGCTACATGCAGCTTTGCTGCTAATAAACCTCAATTTATAACCCATTTCTACCATTACTTGACAGAATCTCGTGAAGTTTCTGGCTTGTAAACAGGAATAGTCTATCAGATGTAAATTCCAGATTCTCACTTGTCATCATTGGAGCATCTGCAGAAAACAAGGTGACATGATACCATATTTGGAACTCAGACCCTTCACTGTCTGTCCTGCCATTTGCAGAGTGTGCAGACCCAGGAGGGTCTTTCAGGCCATAAGCATGAGGTTTCAGAAAGCACTTTCTGTAATTCCTTTTTTTTTTTCCTGGCCAAAGTGTCACACTAGTGTGAGCGTTCTCATGGGCCTTCTCAAACAGTTTCTTTTGCTGAGCTACCTGGAATATCAGGCAGAACTCTGGAGTTTTAGTGTAAAAGCTAATTTTCTATAATGTATTTTTCTCTAAGGACAGAAGAAATAGGCTCATCTCCATTTCGTGTACTGTAGTTATGTCTGATGACCGTCGACTGCAGCTCATGTTTGTCAGTGTTCTTATTTTTAGAGATTTTTCTCTTGTAAAAGGTGTTGCATTAAATCAAGAATGTGACAAGTTCCACAAAACATCAAGCCACTGCATCATCAGGTACCTCACTGCATCCTTTTCACTTCTCTCCTTAACAGCTACATGTCATTTGTTGTAGTTTCTTCTGATCTTGTGTTCATCTCAACTCTTACTGCACTTTGAATGCAAGCCTTGTTAGCTGAGCTTACTTGTACCCTGAACACATTTGACAGGTCACCCGCAGATCTGATCTCATGTCAGCGTAAGATGGGATATGCGTTATTTCTATAAAATAATCCACGACGTTACATGGGTTTTTAATTTTTTTTTAACAGCCTTTGCAAAGTTTCATTTAAATCCACAGTTTGCTAATAAGCTCAAGATGCTGATACTGTATTGGCTTCTCAACAGCCCCAGTAGTCTTCACCGAAATCCTTACGGTGATGATGTTCTGTCTCAGGAGACTGACATCTTTTACCCAGGCAGTTAGCTATACATGCCTTATATGCAGCTTTTGTTGAGCAGTGAGACAACTCCGGGGTGTTAGCAGTAATTACTCCTCTACAGTGCCTCTTATCCGGCTTTTTATTGCAAACTCACCCCAAGATCTCATCTGAGGTTAACTGATGAAATTTTATTTCAGATCAGATTTCCCTTTCTCTTCAAAATGTTATTCCTTGAAATCTGAAGCTTTGCCGGGGTTATCCTTAGGTAGATTTACATCACGGGTCTTGGACTACCAAAGGATGAATCAGTCTTGCTAGTGTTGAATTTCCTGATAGTGAATAGAGCTCAGTACTGCCCTGACAACTTTGCCAGTATTCTTGACCATTTCCAAGCACTTGGTTGGACTTGCACACACACCCCTACTGAGGGGGATGCTGCTTTCAAGGAGGAGATGTATGAGAGCATTGTAGTTGGTAAAATGGTCCATGCGGTTACTCACCTTGGCCTGCCTGTAGGTGAATTAGACGCTGTTGTAGAGGTCTTACAGCAGCAAATGTACGTAAAGGTGTGCACTGAAAATTGGAAGAGAAGTTCCTAGTTAGGAGCAAAATATTTGAGGTGTTTGATGGACACTCTATGTTCTGCATTTTCCTTTGCTCTCCATCCAAGCCCCTGATATTTTCTGTCTCTACTGTTAAGAGAAAGTGGGTGGCAAGCACTTGCCACCACTTACGCACTCAGCAGAGTACATGTACCTTCATATTGGCTGCTGGGCAGAAAAGTTTGAGTCAGAGTGCTTTTGGTGTATGCATACTACCCACAGAAGCACATGCATACAGATAATGCACTTTGGAAACCTCCAGTTTTGGTAAGTATCGCTTCTTTCTCTGTTCCATAATATTTGAACTCAGATGAGCTTTTCACAAGCACTTTTGCAGATCAGAATATCCGAGAACTTGTGAATGTAAGTGACATTTGCTGCTCCATGTTTTAAATCTAAACTTTGTGTCTTTGAATGATCTGCTTTTCTGTATAAATTGGTTGTCTCAGTATATTGCATGTTTGGACCTTAGGTGCCCTCAGCTCCCTCAGCGTCTTTCTGTGAGAAAGCTAACAGAATTGAGACGCTGAAATCGCAATGAGGAGTTGAGATTGCTGCCTTGATTCGCTCATTCTCAAGCAGCGTGGCAAGTTCTCGCATTAAGCAAATAGCTTATTTTGTTTCTCATAGAGTTCCTGAACATTAGCAATGGTTTTGAGCAGTTTCTAATTGATTTTTAAAACCCTAACCCTTTGCTTCTCTCATCCTTCCCTCTCTCCTGTGTGTGTGTCTATGTGCTTTTTGTCTTTTTTTGTTTGTGTTTTTTTTTTTCTTTTTTGATGGCTTGTATATTCTTTCTCTGCGTTGCGGTGTTGTTTTACGCTGCAGAATTCGTCCAGCTCTGCCTCTTCAGAAGCCTCTGAAACCTGCCAGTCAGTGAGCGAGTGCAGTTCCCCCACCTCAGTCAGCTCAGGCTCCACCATGGGGGCTTGGGCCTCCACAGATAAGGTGAAAAACTTCATCTCAAAGACATACAAACCTACTAGCTCGTTATCCAAACCCAGCAACATTTGGACAAAAAAAAAACGAAACGTGCACAGGACGCAGCCAGGATTGCTTTCTGTGAAGATGAGAATAGGAACTGTTGCATGCTCCTTTAGAAATGAGTCTGTCTGAATAAACCGCAACGACACTTTCCTTTAAACTAGTTGCTAGGGGGAAGCTACAACTTGGGCATTTTACAGAGGTAATTCTCTAAGAAAAGCTCATTGTCCACCTTTCCTACTCAAAGAGATTGTGGAACGCTGCCCAAACCCAGCTGGTTGCCTAACAAAGAGCATCTTGCCCAGGTGGTACTGTTTGTGGCTTTTCCCCTCTCTCCCATTAGGTAGCAGGCATTACACTGAGCAATTGGGGTTTGATTTTGACCAAAACAAAAAGGAAAACAGAACATACATGGTTGGAATAAATTATGTGGGATACACTCTGAATTGGAGGAGGAAGTGATAGCAGTCTCCATTCTCATCTGGTAAATCCTTGCTGTTGATTCTTTCTTTTTTTTTCTTCCATATCGTCACACAGCCAGAACACGTCATGTTTGAAGGCTGTATGCTTTTCCTCTCTGTCCAGCTGCATAGAGTAAACGCAACCAATGCAAACTCCTCCAGTATTGGAAATGTTTTGTTTCTGTGTCCACAGTCTGCAGGGTACCTAGCTTGCAAAGGCTTTTTCACAGTGTGCTGCTTTCATGGACAGAAGGCAAAGCTGCTCAGCCTGGAGACAATGACTACTAGATTGATGTCTGAAATTTGTTATACCAAATAACAATTTTCAAGCAATCTCACTTCTGAACCAAGCATTGTGTCAGTTTTCTGTTGTTTATTTGCAGCAAAGCTAAGATTTTTCTTTCTTTTGTTTTAAGATATAGAAGTTTTCTCCCTAGAACATCAGTCACAGTATATTTTCATATTCATTCTGTTTATATTAATTTCTCTGTTTTTGTTTTTTTATTTGTTTCATTTCCAGTTGTCTAATGGGTTTTATCACTGTAGTTTATCAAGTGACCCATCCGTAGCTTCAGTTGGTGCAGGTCCTTTCCCTCATTTCCCGCCTGTCTCCCGCGCGTGGACTCGGGCTCCCTCAGCCCTCCTTCCAGACTACGTTCATTATTACACCATTGGGCCAGGCATGTTACCATCATCTAAGATCCCTAGCTGGAAGGTTTGTGTTCCTTTTGTTGTGGCAGTCCTCACCTCCTCATACCAACAGTGTGCACATGGCAGTTGTTGCTGCCTTTCAATCCATGTAATTACTTGTTGATTTGCTCTGTTTAGTATCAAAATGGGCACTTCTTGGTGATAATCAGAGAGCTAAAATCTGGTAGTGGATATTTCTGAATGACCTTGTCTATTCTGGCACTGCCTAAAACATATTAAAGCTGACAACGCCTAGGTAGGAAGGAATAGTTTAACTTTGGAACATTGGTGAAAGTACTCTGGGCTCTATTCAGCGAGAAAAGAGCTTGTTTAGCACCCTCAAAGTGCTCACCTGAGCAGGGAACTGCAGGCTTGGCATCCAGTTGGCTCAGTGAAACCATGCATTGAAGAACATGATGTTCTCACTGCAGCAGCTGTGCTTGGCCCCCGCCTTGGCCAGAGGCAGGCATGCTCTTGTAGGTCTAGCTGGAGTGGTTTAAGAAGGTGCTCGTCACCAGGTGAACCCAAGTGGTGACTGAGGCTATCCCAGCTTTACTGCCGCAGACTGAAAGTGCTCACCCAGCTTGTTTTGTACTCTTGGGTGAGAACACCAAAAAAGTCAGGGTGCAGTAACTTCTTTCAGTTGCTCCAGCTGGATCTGCAGGGATCTTCTTTGCAATCAAAATGTCTCTGCTCAGCCAGAGCCTTGACTCTCATCCCTGCCAGGCAATTCCCCTGGGCAACTCTGCCCTGGAGCACGGGGAGAAGTTCTCTCATCTGTTGACCTAAATCTTCAGAAGGCTGATGTGCAGTTGATAGTAGCTGCGCAAGTCTTAGATGCCTGTGGATGGTTATATGGTACTGCATATGCACCATGGGACCTTCTCATACATGTAAATTGAGATACCTTGTTACAGATACCCCTAACCTCTCTCCAGCAGCTGGAGACTGTTGACACATGCACACAGGGTGGCCACAGCACTCCTGGGACTTCAGGGTCATTAGTTGTGTCTATGCTAGAAGCACTTTGCCAGTATATGTCACAGCAAAACACAGCAGAGACACAGCTGTTAAGGCAAAGCAGAGTTTCATGTGTGTTATTAAAACCAAAATGTCTGTCTGCACAAGGGGCTTCTGTCAGTACAGCTGCCTTTGCACTTCTCATACCTTGGACTGAGACACATGTCAGTAAAAATGGTCTTAGCCCATCATTAGTTCGTTATTGGAAGGCTGTGCAGAGGCTGCCCAGCAGCCAGCTGCTGCCAGTGGGGGGGTGCATGGCCCATTCTCATGCACAAGTTGTTTCTTTTTATTTTTAAAGCACCCCTTGTCTTGGTGAAGGAAAACGTAGGATTGGGCTTGCCCCTGCAGCAGCCTGCATTTGGGGAGCTGCTGCTTAGCCGTGGTTCTGTGTCCCAGCACAGGTCACCGATCAGTCCTGCTCTTTGTGTGCAACGTGCGGTTTCTGGACACCCTCAGGACTTTGCTTAATAGAGCCCTGAGTGACTATAGCCCTCGAGGCCTGAGGAATTTCTGTTTCAAATTTGGCACTAGTAATTCAGAGTGAAGTTAGTCTTTCTTCAGTACAGATCATTTTATTATAAACTAGATTTCAGCTAGTAAGTAAACTGAGAGATTACTCAGAGTAACTTGCTCCTCTAACATGTATCAAAAATCTGTTCGAGCCTATTTTTTCAGAATTGAAGATGTATAACAGCACATAATACTAGAACTTGTGTGCATCTAGAACAGCTACATCACTGACTGGACATTTACATATATTTTTCTGCTGTATGCCAGTGATTTTTGCATTTCAATTTCTGAAAATACAGGCTTTAACACAATGGAATTTCATTTAGAGAAAACTGTAGTATTAAAATGTTAAATATCTTCATGTAAGAACACTTAGGTAAAATAGGAAATTTAGATTCCCTTTAATAAAGGAGATACAGGTTTTATAAGTGAAAAATTTTAATATCCTCAAAATTAATTTATTTCTGGCCATATTTAGAAAGGCATATCCAGTTTGATACATAATCTGTTGCATTAAAATTGTCCTTTTGCATAGTTTTACATGTAATTAAAGCACAATTACTGATGAAAGCCATCACTAACAAGCACATTTCCTTAGGACTGGGCCAAACCAGGCCCATACGATCAACCAATGGTGAACACATTGCAACGTCGCAAAGAAAAGCGCGAACCAGATCTCAATGGAGGAGCTCAGAGCGGACCACCCGTGCCCCCTGAGGAGGCCCAGAGACCTCGGAGCATGACGGTGTCGGCTGCCACAAGGGTGAAGCTCTAATTTCAAATGTGCTATTTGCTAGCTCCTGCCCGTACTTCCTGATGTGCTCTATGTTGGCACGTGTTTATCTGACAAGAGGTGCTGGTGTGGTGTTGGCATGGTCAGTGGAAGTAGCGTGGACATGAGAGAATATGCCACTGGGTATTGGCATTTGTAGAGCAACAGCATCCAAAGAAGCATCTGTTTCTAAGCCCTAGTAAATGGTTGGACACAATCCGGTTGGGTTGTTGTCACAGGCTGCCCCGAGAGGTTGTGGAGTCTCCTTCTCTGGAGGTATTCAAAACCTGCCTGGAAGCGTTCCTGTGCAACTTGCTGTACATGAACCTGCCTTGGCAGGGGGCTTGGACTAGATGATCTCCAGAGGTCCCTTCCAACCCTGACCATTCTGTGTGCTCCTGTGATTCTGTGATGGTGACAAGCTCTGCTTGGAAGGAGAGACGGCTAAAAGTTGGTGAAGATTGACTAAACCTTCTTGACATAATGAGTCTCTTTCCTGTATGTAACCAGCAGGGTGAGGAGATGGAAGCCTGCGAGGAGCTGGCGCTCGCTCTGACAAGAGGGCTGCAGCTGGACACCCAGAGGAGCAGTCGGGATTCCTTGCAGTGCTCCAGCGGCTACAGCACCCAGACAACAACTCCGTGCTGTTCAGAGGACACGATCCCGTCTCAAGGTACCCATCCAAGAGATGTTGTTTTCCAGAGCATTCCCAGCCTGGCCATCATATACTCAGCCTGTGGTGCCAAGGAGCTGTATTCCAGCAGCTGTTGCTCACTGGCTTTGTAGTCAGCTGGGGAGAGAGGGGTGAACGTTGCTGTTGTGTTTTTTCCAGCTTGGAATGCAGCCTGGATTTTCTAACTAAATAGAAACCTGGATTGCTGCATAGTGTACTGAACGATCGTATTTTCTTGTGCATTACTAGAATGAGTTTTAGCTTAAGGATGCTACCATTTTAAAGAAGGTGCTGGAATTTCATGAGTTAAGTGAAGTGACACTGGTATTGCATCATACGCTTCTTGTGGTACTAGTGTCCTTTCTGAGCTATTAGCAAATGCGCACTCATGAGCTTTGCTTTCTTGTTCTGTCAGTACTCTGAATCTGCTCTTGGTTTCCCTTTGTGACCTTTTATTTCCTACCTAAGCAGAAATTTTGTAATCGGAAAAAGAATCCATTGGAGACCTTAACATGGGCAGACCTGGGAAGCTGCAATAAGGTGCTGGGTACCTGTTTTGTACCCTGTTTCAGAACCAGCAGCAAACTGAGAGTTTGGTGTTTGCAGTTCAGCAACCACCTTGTTTGCCCAGCTGAAGTCACTCATGCTGTGCAGTTGCAAGAGGCGGTAGGGCTTGCAGGGGGCATAACTTGGCTCAGCAGTTACATGGAAAGGAGGGAACCCGATGCAATTATTAAAGCTGAGGCTGAGTTTTCAGAGCTGACAGCTGGGATTTACTTTGTTTGCAAAATAAGCAAATTTGCTGCTGAAATCACTGGTACACAGTCCCCTGAGTCGTGCATTGCCTAGTCTAAAGTACAGGTTTTAGTCACTGACTGTTTTAAGTATTTGTATCTACAAGTGGTAGCATATGGCTTGTAGGATGCTGGTTTTGGTATCTTCATGTTGGCAACATTGAATCTTCATTACTTAATTAGTTCTTTTCAGAGAAGGTACTGAGTGTGTACAGTTCTCATTCTCTTTGACGAGAGATATGGGGACCCTGCAGCTTTAAGGTTGGGCTGCTGTAGCACCTGCCTTCGGTCATGCAGTCTGAGAATCTTGGTCACAATATCTCAGGCTTCCTCCTAAAGGTGAAACCTCCCTTAATTGCTATTGACCTCCAGGCCTTTTTGGTTATACATACTTTAGACTTACTGACGTGACTCAGCTGTGTTCTCCAGCTTGTTCCTAACTCCGTCTTTTGGCATCAGTTTCAGATTATGATTATTTCTCTGTGAGTGGTGACCAGGAGGCAGAACAACAAGAGTTTGACAAATCTTCCACCATCCCAAGAAACAGCGACATTAGCCAGTCCTATCGCAGAATGTTTCAAACCAAGCGTCCCGCTTCCACCGCAGGTCTGCCAACCACACTTGGACCGGTCATAGTCACTCCCGGAGTCGCCACCATCAGACGGACCCCTTCCACCAAGCCTTCAGTCAGACGCGGTACCATAGGGGGAGGTCCCATTCCGATCAAGACACCAGTGATTCCTGTCAAAACACCAACTGTCCCCGATATCCCAGGGGGGCTGCCCGGCGCCCTCGCTGGGACAGAAGAATGTCCCGAGCAAAGTCCTGAGTCTCCAGCAGCAGGAGATGGTGGGCAAAGTATCACCAGCATGCCCTCATCCTCATGGAGCGGACAAGCATCTGTCAACCCTCCGCCATCAAGCCAGAAACTGAGTGCTGCCGATGAGCAGAGGCAAGTGGTTCCTGAGAGCGAGGGGGAAGAAAGCGAGCGGGATGGTGTCAGCACCCTCACGCCCACAGGCCAGCCAGAGCTCGATCCCGGAGAGCTGAGTCCTGGGGACATCCCGCAAGGTGAAGATATGCTGAACGCCATTCGGCGTGGTGTCAAACTGAAGAAGACGACCACGAATGATCGCTCGGCACCTCGTATTTCCTAGGAGTGGAAAAGCTGCCAGAGTACTAGCCGTGGAGAAGGAACTGTGAGGAAACTAATTTGTCTCTATCCATTCCAATCTGTAATCAATGAATTTTTTAAGATACTCGGTACAGACAGTCTGAAAGTACTCTAAAAGAGAAAACAAGGTGAAAGAGCATAGTAAGACATAATCTTCACTGGTGTTTTAATTTGTAAATATCAATGATTTTGTTTCTGCATTTTTTTGATCTAAGTTACACTTTTAATTTTTTCTGAAGGTGCCAAATCCCATTTACCTTTTTTATAACTCTCTTTGTAAAGTTTTAAATCATAGGAGAAAAAAAAAATGTCGAGTAGTTAACTTCAGCAAAGGGATTTAATGAAAATTTGGCTTTTTTGCAAGCTTTTGTAGAGCGCCTTGTAATAGTGAAGTTAAAAAACAAAACAAAACAATGGGACTTTCTTTAATGTTTAAGTCAAGCTGTAAGGAACAGATCCTCATTTAAGTATTAAAAAAAAAGTTTGAAAAGCAGGAATAAAAATTGACAATAAAAGCAATATATAATGCAAGGAAGAAACCTGCAGTTGGTAGAGTATTTGAGGGGTAGTGGGGGGAGGGAGATGCCATCAAAATAGCAGATGCTGTTGCACAAAAGTAGCCTAGTAGGATTAATTACTAGTAGCTTCATGGTAAATGCATCAGAATAAGCCATATTGGATTGCAGTGTTTTGTTTCTGTAGGGTGTTTTAAAGACTGGGTTTTTTCCACGTTTCTTTTTTGACTGCACAGCAACAACTCTCAGTCACATGCATGCAGCCTTAACTGTGTAGGCTTGGTTCTTCCACCCTCACTTTTTGTTCTACTCATCCTTTCACTGAGTACAAACAAGGCCGACAGGCTTAAGGCAGTTACAAATGTAAAAACATTTTTAAAATGCAAGCAGGGAGTTCTTAGATATTATCAAAATGCCTTTTTCTGACTGTGCCCAGCAGGCTGGGCACCTTGGAAAGCCCAAATATTTTGAGAAAACACTTAACAATTTGACAGGTGTAACCAGCTTGTGATCTAATAAACTGCAAATGTTTCTTTCCAATACAGGGGCTTGTTTTTCTTAACTTCTTTTAAATGGCAGTTGATTGGCTTTTCTTAAATACCGAAAAGAAAGGGGTGAAGGGTGGGGGGTGGGGAAAGATACTGCTTTTTTGATAATACTGGGAGTCTGACCACTATATTCTCTTTTTTTGTACTTTACGTCATGTTTTTTGGAACGCTATTGTTAGAATTATTAAGAGTTGGATTTTTTCCTTGAAGTAAAAGTAAGTTATTGCTGCAATACCCGTCTCCTAAAGCTGATAGAAATATGCAGACCCCGGGGCACGACGCGTGTTCCGATCAGACAGTCCAGAAGGATGCTGTCTTCCCACACACAGCAGACCCACATGTGGATGGACGCCAGGCTTGCGCATCTGGGATTGTTTAAAAATGCACCAAATAATACATACAAGGGGCCGGTTTCCACCACGTGCTCTGCAGATTTCTGTTGGCTCTAAACTTGCCTACATAACCTCTTATGCTTTAATACATAACTGCATTGGATGTGAAACTTCTAGTAACTGTGTAGTCACTGTGTTCGATATAACATTTTACACTGCTGTGGTTGCTAACCTTTTTTTTTTGTTATGGCTTAAAAGCAAAAAGAAAAAAAAAAGGCATGGTTCTTAGAAAATATTAAACGTTCCTTTCTTTGAAAAACAAGCTCCTTATTACAGAATATAATAAACAGTAGTGCCTGTGGTGTAGCCCACCAATCTTGATACCGTAGCTGATGCATTGTGCAAATGAGGCTTTGAGATGGTTTTTGCATAAACAAAAATTGCTAGGAGATAATCTCAATAGTTAAAAGTGTTATTTAAACCTTTGAAATAAATGGATGTAACTGTACCCGAGTACAGCTTTTCACTTGTTTAGTTCTTAAACGTTAGTATAATCAGTAAAATTTAATATAAAATGTTGCCAAATTCAATGTAGAAAGAATGTGACAAAACACTTCGGATAGTTCTATTGTTTGTGTTTTTGCATATTGTAAAAGCAGTGTCACAGCTAAAAAATAAAATGTTTCTAATGGTAAATTATTGTGGTTTAGTTGCTAGTTTGTACTGAGAGTTGACCTCTCCCTGTGCAGTTTTTTGTTCTAAACTGGTATAAATAATTGCTGTAAGTGTGTCTCCCTTCTACATTGTAATGATTGCTTAAGCCTACATTATAAATAAAGAACTGCTGGAAAACTTCTGTATTTCGGTTCTTAAAGACTTTCTGCTTCCAGAGCTTTGCATATCAATGGTGTCCTTCATCAGACTTCTCAAGATCACACAGGTTCCATCTTCATGTAACAGAAACAAGAGAGAATTAAAAAAGAGGTAAATAAAATCGCATATAGCTGTGTTTTACTGATGTGCACTGGAAGAGTAGTGGCAGAACAAAGGCGCAGTGCTAATGATGGAAATTCCCATGAAATAGTAACTGATGACTTCTCTCTGTCCCTCGCTGTTGTCATCTGGCCAGGAAGCACAGGTAACTCGACATGTTTGTGTGTCTGCTTCAGTGCTGGACCGCAGTTCCTTTTGCCAGAGGAGGAAGACTGTTGCTGCCAACGCTGCCCATGGTTACAGACAGAATTTATCCAGCGCAACACCAGTGCCATCTCCAACATGCCCTGGAGTGACTGAAGACTTTATTTTGTTCAGGTTCCTAAGGAACAAAGGTAGAGAGGCAGGATGTTGTTCCCACTTGCAGCTACCACGCAGTGGCCTAATTTATTTCCTTGCCACTGTGATAGATTCATTTTTGTCCAGAGGTTTCCATTTGTCATTGTATTGGGTTTGCGTGGCAAGGGTTTGGTAGCGGGGAAGCTACAGGGGTGGCTTCTGTGAGAAGACGCTAGAAGCTTTCCCTGTGTCCAGCAGAGCCAATGCTGGCCATCTCCAAGACAGACCTGCTGCTGGCCAAGGCCAAGCCCATCAGCAACGGTGGTAGCACCTCTGGGACAACAGATTTAAGAAGGCGGGGGGCGGAAATAGCACTGGCAGCCGGAGAGAGGAGTGAGAATACGTGAGAGCAACCACTCTGCAGCCCCCCAGGTCAGGGCAGCAGGAGGGGAGGAGGTGCTGCAGGCCCAGAGCAGAGATTCCCCCCAGCCCCTGGTGCAGCCCACGGTGAGGCCGGCTGTCCCCCGGCAGCCCACGGAGGCCCACGCTGGAGCAGATCCCCACCTGCAGCCCGGGGAGGGGTTTCTTGTGGGGTGTGTGGGGGGGGTGTGGTTGTTTTTAATGCTGGGATGTGGGGTATCCATCATGTCAGGCATCATCAGTCAGAACTGCTCAGGTGTTTGTAAGAGTGAGGAGGAACATTTTTGCTCTCTTTTCTAGCAAAAGAAAAAAATGATTGGTTGGCTGACTGGGAGGGAGGGTGCAAATCACACACAAAAAAAGGACTATTTTGTTGTTTACGTAATTTCTGAATATAGTTACCAGGCAAGCAAAGCATAGGAGTAGGGTTTTGGGGGAATGCAAGGTGCAGAAAGAGAGGATGGTTTTTGTAAGCTCACAATTGAGTAGAAGTTGTTAAGACCTGCTTGGTGCTTACCCGCTGGCTGCTCCGACGGGCTCTGCCCCATGATGGCATGGAGCACTCCAGCACCAGCCCACCATGCCGCCAGCTCACACCCCGCTATGGCACCGGCTCTGAGCCAAGGGCTGCTGGTGCCAGGCTGGGGGAGACAGCAAAGAGGGCTCAGGGGCCCAGCAGGTGACCTGGGTTTGGCCCTGTGACGTATTTCCCTATGAACTTTGCCAACATCTGCTTTTGGCCGTTCGTATTCAGGCTAGTGCAAGTAGCTCTTAAAGCAACTCGGCATTTTTAATTTAGGGATGTGCAATGCTGGTAGCGCAGATCCTGTATTAGAAACCCGTAACAAGTTAGAAAAGGGGTGCAGGTTGGAACTCTTACCATCAGTATTGAAAAACAGCAGAGCAAAGCATGGATACCCCAGTGAGAAGCCACAGCTCCCCGCTGAGTGGGTGCACAGCCTAGAGGCGAGGGCTGTGCTGAACAGCTGCGCTGGGAAAGGGCTCGTCTGTTCTGCTACTGCCTTTGGACTAATGGAGCACAGAGAACAGATCCTGCTTCCTGGTAAGAATGCAAATTTCAGCAGTGGCATACTTGAAGCTGTTTTTCTGGAGGTTTTGGGGTGGTGGTTTTTTTGTTTCAAAATTCAGTCATATCTTAAGCATGTAGGCTTACTGAAGAGGGCCATGTAAAATTTCTAAAGTCAGATTAAAGCCTTTTCTTATACCCAAGCCAAATATGTTTAGTCCTTAAAACTGCAGAAGTTAGTGTCTTTGCCATCTCTTCTTATCTTCAAGCCTTAAATTGGGAGTTAGGGAAAAATTAGGCCTTAGGGTTAAATACCGTGCAATCAAGTAACTGCTGTAGAATGAACGTCAGATGAGGTAACCCAAACCTCCTCTCTTCTAGCCCAAAAAATGGGAGAACAGCAGCAGAGCCAGGAAGGTTTTCCTATGAGCTTTTACTAGGCAGCTATATCCCATCTATTCTCATACAGGGCAGTTAACAGAAGCGTTAGCAGAACTCCCTGGGCCTTGTATCGATGCTTTGGGAACGCAGGCAGAAACCAACAGCTTTCTGTACCTAGATCATCGTACTGCATTGCCTGCTAGAACCGCTTGTGCCCCATAAATGAGCATACGAGAGCCCTCTTCCCCAGCAGGCCCCTTGTTCTAACTGATACAGCTCTGGGATTCAGTAGTTACCTGGGATTCAGCTTATACGGGGATGAACTTTCTTCCAGTGCTCTACAGCAACGTCATCCATGCCAGCAAGCAAGCACGACATGGTAAGGAAGGTTTATGTCTTGCAAGGTTTGATACCCAAGTGAAAAATGCAGCCAAGTCTTTATCCCTAGGCAAGGTTAGAAATACCCTCATTCCAGGAGCAACCAAAGCCCACCTGTGTTGCTATCAGCATCTTGAAACTCCAGCTTTAACACCTTACCTGTATTTAGTACCAAATTCCAAGTTACCAGGCTGATGATACAAATTCTTTATTCATTTTCACCCACTCCCTCCGGCCCCCCACCACCTTCTCCGCAGAAGGAGACAGGCTCTTGCCACAGTTACTCTCACTTCAGTTGCTTATCATTTGATCCAGTCCCCCAGTAAATGCACTTCTCCCACCTCTTTAAGCTCACATTCCTTCTCTGGGAACACAAGTTTTATGTGGCTGAGTTTTTCAGTCTCGTAGTTGACTTTCCTAACTGTTACTGCAAAAGCTGCAATAAAACTTGCTCTGGTGTCAGTACCCCGTTAAGATTTCTTTGCAGGCTGGTCAGCATTCTCTGACACTGTAGGTATCTAGTGCAGATGTTAAGTCATCTATTCTACACTGGACAGACTGGAAGTGAAGTGTGTGCATGCTATAGAAGAACAGCATATGTCAGAAAAATGCCTTCTCTTTTACTTTATTTGGCTTTATTTTGTATTACTTGGAGTAGCATGCAGTCACTGACGTGTCGACTGCCTACAGAAGACAGACCGCTCCAATTCTCAGGTGAAATAATGCTTTTACATGGGAATTTCACGAGGTCTTGTAACATAGTGCCACCACAGTGGTGGCAGATGCCCTTCCTTACGAGCTGGAGGCAAAGCTTCAGTTACTGGACCATCAGCTGGAGTTTCTTCTTCTAACTGCTTAATCTAGAAGACAAGACATAAAATCGCTTTAGTACATAAACGTGCATTTCCATCAGTGGTTTTCAGTGCCCAGGCAGTAAGCAAAACTGGCCCCCATGTCAGAAGGGAAGAACCAGCAGCAATGCCATCAGTTGACAGACAGGTTTCATGTTTCCCAGTAATCACTGCAGGCTCATTATTACCTAATTAAGAAGGAATTTGTAGGAGGAAAATGTGATTTACAGGAGAAGTTTTACTTAAAAGGTCATTATTTCCACATAATTCATGTCTATCATTGTTACATTAAACAGACTGAATTCTCTTGCTGCTTTGAAAGCTCCCAGATAATTACAAGTCCTGAACAACTTCCATTCCGGTCCGCAGGAAGCCTCTATTTCTGCAAGCCACCAACAGCCCTTTGGATGTTTTCAATACGTGTTTCTTGAAGCAGCCTAAGTGCTGGCTGCCACTGTTAATTCTGGTAAGAGTGCCGTAAGACATACAATCCAGCTATTTCTCTACAATTGAATTAAGAACTATTCAAAGAACGTAAACTTTTTCCAACTGAATCTCCATTTAGGATGGCCAGAAACTAGTCTCAATTCCCAAGTGATGAACACTGAGGTAAGTCACTTTCAAAGATACAACTAGAAAGCGTCAGGGCTTCACAGCAGCAGAAGAGGACTTGTCTAGTCATTAATCCCCTCTCATCCCACCTGGAACTTGTTTTAGCAAAACTGCTACAACAGACCTGCACTAACTGAAACATGGTTGCAGGTTCAGCTTTAGCTCCAAATTCCCCGCAGCCTTTAAGCAGCTGTAACTGAGATCTCTGTGTAGGCGTTTTAGGTCAATTCAGTGCTTCACGCTGACAAGAATTCTAATAAAGAAGAGTCTAAATGAGACCGTAGTAGGCATTCAATAATTTTTCCAAGGACACATCTAAATGTCACACAAAATCCTCGCCTGCTGAAGAGGCTTTACTTTGCATTGAGCAAGCACTGACCTCTTTATCCCAGCTTTCCCGCTGCAGCTTCTTCCATTGCTCTCGTTTGGCAAAGTAATCAGGATACATTGCCTTCTCAGAAGGATGCCAGTAATCCAAGCACCATTCAGGAAGCTATTAAAGAAAAATATAATTTATATACATTATTTCTGTATATGAAATCATATATAGCACACACATACAAAAGAGCTAAACACAATCACTGAAGCCAGTATTAAAATGGATAAATAACCCAGGAAATAAAGTACTACATAAAAACACCATTTAAGAGCTACCTGACTATTGTCAGTCTCAAGACATTATATGACAGAAATCAGTACATTTAATCTTTGGTTCACACATCCTAAGTCACAGGAAGACATCACAGTGACTCGCTTAAATCAGAGCATCCCAAAGACAAGCCCCAGGTCATCCAATTTACTCTAAAGTTCTCAAAATAATTCCATCTGGCAGAAGAGAAGATCTGATTTCTTCCCTTACTACTCTCAAAGGCAGCAGGTTAGACAGATCCTTTTCTCCAACTACTAATTTATTTTATTTGACAGAGAGAACCTTACAGCTCATTTCTGCTTGTCTACAACTACTAAAAAATTAGTGGCCTTTAAGATCTTGATAATGGTCTGACTTCTACAATGTCCAGTCAAGAAAAAAGGCAAAATTTAAAATTCTGCAGCAGCATTTCAGTAAATGTTAAAATTCTAAAAGACAGGAACATTGATTAAAAACCAAAACCCCACCAAAACCCTCACTTCTTAAAAAAAGAAGATTAAGACGTTGCTCCAATACCATCATTCACCCAGTGACATTTATACTTCCAGTTTCCTGCTGTGATTCTCATCACGGAGTAAACCTTTGACTACACAGAAACAACAGAGCTGCTAATAATAATATAAACACCAACACCCCCACCCCCCCCACCCCCACCCCCAATTAAAACCATCAAACAGCCCAAGATGTAAAAATTACATTTTGCAGCAGCATCCACAATGGACAGTCATTGATATATCAAGAAGCCAAATCCTTGTGACAGCCATTTTATTAAAGGACAGTTTTAGCATATCAAACAGGGCAAAGAAAAGAGAACATGAACAGTTTGTATCTCTATACGAAGACTAATCTTGACCATTTATTACTTAACAGGCCTTTTTTCTGTCAGGATCCTCTCTATTATCTCTACTACTGGTACGGCCCACGACCTTGGCATAAGCTTAAGCCCTCCTCTTCCCTTTTCACTCATGCGCTTTTTTCTGCCTCTGATAAATCTATGTCAGATTCTTCCTTTCATATGGCTTCTTATGTGTAAACATCTGATCAGATCTAGTCTTGCATCACCACTTTCTTCAAACTCAAGAGAAAATGGGTGCATGCACTCTCTAGGTTAGTATTAACTTCTTGTAATGCATTAAACGAGACAATGCCAAAAAAAAAAGCAAAAATCCTGCATTTTTCTATGGAACCTGTTTCTTTACTCCTAAATAGAACAATCTAGAGGGAAAAAAGCCTCTAGAACTGCTTTAGATTCTAAAACTATGGCTTCTATTTTTAGGCATACCACCTATCACAGTGATGCATACATATGTATCTGGCACGACAGTATATGAAGGGAAATTATAATTTATACCATTACTCAAAATGCTAGAAGAACAACGGGACTGAGTGAAGAGAAGTCCCCCAACAGCCAAGCCAATATCTGGCAAGACCAGAGAGAAACCAAGGCTGTGACCAGATGGCACCACAACAGAGAGCACAGCTTCCTCCACATTGTTTACTCTCACAGCTCAGCTCCAACCCTTTCACTGTGCCTGCCTGACCCATAGCAGAACAGCCATTTGGCAAAAGGCCAGATGATTACCTCAGCAAAAAGACGCTAGCACTGCTCAGACAGATCAACAAACTCCATTTTCAAGGATCAGACAAGCATGACAGCTTCTCCCATGCAAGCAGCAAGATGTTCAGCAGCAGTGAACTATTAGAGAAGTTATATCACTGAGTCAAGCTGCAGCCCTTTGAAAGTCCACTTAGAGCACTCACTTAACATTCACTAAAAGAAGAGTGAGTTAAGCACAGTAATTCACAACCTTACGGGCCACCTTACCTTGTAGCACTCATATCTCTCATAGGAAGTGCCCCCAGGGGAGTCAGGGAAGATGTATGGCTGAGGATGCTGGTTTGCCCAGAACTCCTCCTCACCTGCCCTCAGCAGCTCTGTAGCTTTCACCATATCCTTCACATCCTTGTTCTTATCAAATCGTTCTCTCAGGAGGCAGGCGAAGTAGCGGTACTTGTCTCTACAGAGGTTAAGCACAGTGACATACGTTGAAGAAAACACTAATCACGTACAAAAACAAAGCTTGGCAACATCACCAGTCACCCCTGCGCAAAGACAGCGTTAGGCCAGAGGCCTCTGAGGAACCCCTGTTCCCGCATCGCCCTTTTTTGTGGCAGGCACAGGCAAGTAACCCTAGAGGCTTGTTCCTCACCCC